ATTTATAGACAAAAGTTTCATAAACTTACAAGCAATATAAAGTCTTCCTTTTAGTCTGGAATTTCTTCGATATCTTATCGAGGGTTCAGGATGAGCGAGTTAATTACGAGTTGATGTAGGTACGATTCGCTTAACGGGAAGCTAGCTAGCTTTGTCCTTGATTATTTACCAGCCACACACACCGATATTTTCCTACCGGTGAAGTTAGGTAATGTTTTCCTAAAAATACTGATGTCCGATGAGAATCCACTGAAGTTAAACGACTTGTAATGCTCGAACTTTGTAAAGGTTCCTGGTCAAATATCTGAAGTTTTCCGATTGGTAAGCGTTATAACAATCACAGTTATAGCTTCCGAAGTTTATAGCACAATGACTGTAGCGAACTAATAATAGATACTCTCTTTTGGCACGTCGCGTTGGTTATATTTATAGGCGTATGAAGGTCTTCTAGAAAAATCCAGATTATTTAACAATACAAATTTAAGCGTTTACGTACACACATATTGTTGATTCTTAATCTCGAGAATCTTCTACAACTTTGGAGAATAGGCGGGAGTCTCGCAATACATATTTAACAGTATAAGCTATGTATATTTCTAAATATAAATTTAATCCAAACAAACGTTGATATTAGAATAAATATATAATAACAAATTCGTTACACCATCTAGAATTATTGCTCTATGACGAAAGTTATTAATTTTATTGATGTCGTAAAACTCAAAGAAAATTTGTTAAGAGACCTGTCTAATGTACATCGTACAATGCCACAAAGTTTTCAGTTTAGATAAACCATAGAACCGGCTAAACACTTAAGTCATTAATTAAGAAAACGTGTGTTTTATTTAACAGGGTTAAATACAAAGCCTAGAGGAAGTATCACAGTGGAACTGCTACCGAATTAACTTGAAAATGGGAAAGCTACATTGTAGTGGAAGACCTGTTGGATAAACTGAAAACAAAGGATACGTGGTAGGAAAATAACATCACACTAAAGTGCAGACCAGGAAGATAAGCCCTTTTCGTATCAGTGAACAGCTTAATTTACAGCAGCGGCGCCATCATGTGGCAGCAGGACGTAGAAATTAATTGGCAAAAGCGATGTCATGACCTTGAGCGTTCGCTACAACGTTTTCGGGAACAGGCAACAAGGATACGAGGACTGCTCAAGGAAAAGGTATAGCAATTTTTTGTTATATCACCTTTTGCAATATTCTCTACGATAGTACAATCAATGAAAATTCGAGTGTGTTTTGAACTTTGTTTACGGTGACCAACATTTTATAGTTGTTTTCTGTGGTTTCTTTTCATGATATGATTTTGGTTTTATCTGAATATTTTTAGATGGAGTCAGATCGTCACCCAAAACACAAATAAGAAGCAAAACAAGTTGTTAGAAAATTGTCTGATTCGAATCCCTATCACACCAAACGTGCTCGCCCTTTCAGCCGTGGGGGCGTTATAATGTGACGGTCAATCCCACTATTCGTTGGTAAATAATAGCCTAAGAGTTGGCGGTGGGTGGTGATGACTATCTCCCTTCCCTCTAGTCTTACACTGCTATATTAGGGACGGCTAGCACAGATAGCCCTCGTGTAGCTTTGCGCGAAATTCAAAACAACCAACCAATTTTATCTTGATGAAAAGTTAAAAAATCTAATTATTGAAGAAGCAATGCCACATAACCATTGTAAATACATTCTAGTTCATTTAAAAACAAACAAGACAAAAAGAAGTCTTCACGTGCACCTATAGAATATTTCTGGTTAATTGTGTTTTGAGAAGGGCAATAAGGGTGTACATTAAAATCTTTTTTTTTTGAGCTGTGGCGTAGGTGTGTTTTAGGATATGATAAATATAAAAAGTACACATATACCGTCAGTGTTGCATATGTTGATCAGCTGAGTTATAGAGAAGCGCATTTTTCTGGTTCATTTTGCCCTTTGAGTTTTCAAGACTATATAGATAATTTAACAATAATTATTACATTTAATTATTAGAGTGTGTTAATTAGTTAACTAAAGTAACAACTTTAGTCCCATATATTACACCCTATAAGTAATTCTCTTGTATCTCATTTCTTTTTTCCTTTTTTTATTCTAAAATTTATCTCCATATATTTAAGTATACCAACACGCCCCAACCATTCTAGTGTTTTGGACTCGTAGTCCGAAGATTTTGAGTTCGAAGCTTGCCTTCTCCATGTTATTATGTCCTTAAGCAATAACTTTACTCCAGTTATATCAGTGCACCCAACACTATCATGGGTAGCTGGGGATTAATCTACAATGGACTGACATTCTGTCCAAGGGGATGATATCACCATTCCGATCCGCTTGTGACATTAAAACCAGAGTTCAGCACGGTTTCTATGCGCTGTTTTGAGATGGTATATGGATTTAACTTTAACTTTCTCTCTACTTGGCCCTATTCATTTTCGAATGCGCCAAGAGGAACTTTCAAAGTGGCTTCATAAATGCGTGATTAGTGTGGGCTGTCTTAAGAAAATTAACAAATGTGATGTAATTTACAATTATAAAAGTATATATTATAAACCAAGAAAAAGTGAGGTATAAATAAAATTGTAACGTAAAGCCAGGGCAACTTTCGCACTAACTAGTGAGTAAGTACTTGTATTTTAAAAGTACATATTGAAAATGTAATATTTGCCCTTATAGGTTTATTTTTCTTTATTGTAAGCCTCTTCTGAGTTTATAATGTAGTTTTTGGACAATCAATATAATTATATTTATATAAAAACCTGTCAAAAATGACGGGAAATCAAAGCCTACCAAATCTGGATCCTCCAATATGCATTTGCAACTTTGCCGTCCGTAAACAGACGTAAGAAAAATACAAGGCCTTCTAGCTTCGGGAAACCAAAGCCCATCGTGAACAATACCTACTTTACCTAAAGAGTGTCTCTTCCTATCATCAATTCTTGTCTCAGCATTCACTGATCACAGTTATTTTCGTGTCACATCAATTGCATTATTGCAATAGTTCTCTTAAAATCACATTTCTTGTAAATATTCGATCATCATTCAAAACATCTCTTCATAACAAATGACAAATTAATTTCGCTTGGTGCTAAATAAACTCTTGGTATAAAACTCCCTTCTTGACAGGCTTTTTTATATAGCAGAAAAAGTGTCGAAATTTATGAGCTATTTACGCCTAACTTTGCGATTGAATTCAACTAAAATGGAAACGGGCAATCAAAAAAAAGGAAGTATTATAGGAGAAAAAGTGGAATTTGACTCGTGTAACTCACGAAATTCGGATAAATAGAGCATGAGCGACTGACTGATCAACCGAACTTGACTCTTATGATTATGATACTGGGATTCAATCTAAAAAAATGCAGGAACCACTTGTATACATACCAAAGAACGAAACGTGTATTGTTTTATGTAAATTTATTTCGAAAGAAGTAGCACACTATGATAATACGATTCAATGAAAACAGAACGTTTTATGGAATGTATGACAAATCGGATTAATGACAGTATTTCTGAAATATCCGTTTAAAAGGTTGCGTTTCATACATGACACTCGAGTATGTTTGTGTTAGCTCTTTGTGATTTTACTTTGCGTTCATTCACATCGTTGAAACATACAGCTTTGATTACTTTAATCATTGAACAAAAACTGTGTTCTTAATGTAGTTAAGTCACTTTCCAGCATTTATAAAGGCCTTCTTCTGATTCAAATAGAAGTATTAGGCCTTTTTCTGATGCAAAAGGAAGCCTTAGGTAATCAAGAATCTCGAATTCATCCTATTGAAACTCATAAGGAGGTTGAATATTTGATAACAGCTTCCGGGACCTGTTCTTATACTGAAAGTTTTAATCGGAATCATAGTTAAAATGATCTGATGTCAAAAATGTAATCACCTGGTGATAAAATTGTGTACTATTTGCAATGTGATTTTTCATGATGAAGAAATGTGGCGCTCATTTTTCAATATCTTTCTGTTAACGACCACAATAAGAGTGAAAAAAACTTTTCACAATCACATTTAAAGAATCCATAAATCATTTTTTTTTGGAATAGAAATGTGCTCTTTCCATATCACCTCAAGAATAACTAGTTCACAAAGCTAAACCCAATTTCAAAAAGAAAGAAGCGAACAGGTTAATATGATGTAATCAAGCATTCTACTATTATTACACGGCTTAGATATCAATATAATCATTCTTTTTATTCTTGTGGAACGGTATGTGATTTTGTACATTGATAAATTAAAATAATGCCGTTAATTTGTGAGTTAGGTTTATGCAGGAATATAGATTTATTATGTACGTTTGTGCCATTTGGGATTTATGTGCAGAAGCCGTTTTATGTTCCGTTCAACCTCTTGCGACTTTTCCAAAGAAGGATTTTCTTTTACATATGAACCTATCACAGAGAGACGCCATCTACATCTTTTCAGCTCTCACAGTTGTTCCATAGTAGACGTCTTCTGTACCTCTTGAAGTTAAATCACACCAAGTTTATTCCAAGAAAGATGAATTCTGTACCTATATATATAGTTCCCTAGTTATTCAAAGATTAATAGGAGGGTATACAAACATATATATATATATTTCAAAAATTGTTTTAATTTTTAATCTATGTTAAAACACGGATATGTCGAGCACTGTATGAGAGTCATATCAGTAAAGGAATAAAAAAAGTACCTTTATTAAATAAATAATATCAATGATTATGTTATAATGAAAAAGAAACGTCGCAAAATTTTGTGCATCTTTAACTGCCTGTTATCAGTGTGCGCGTCCCCCCCCCCCCAGTGGCACAACGGTATGTCTGCGGACTTACAACGCTAGAATCCGGGTTTCGATACCCGTGGTGGGCAGAGCACAGATAACCCATTGTGTAGCTTTGTGCTTAATTACAAACAAACAAAAAATCAACTTGCGCTAATCTTTCGTTTCAGTCACTTAATTTAACGTTTAAATTTCATAAATATTTTGATATAATCTTCTAACAAACACACAACATAAACCCGTGTTCAATTTATGAAATTTTTGTTTATTTTGAATTAAAAAGTTGTTTTTGGATAGCGCTAACTATACTCGTAAAGAAGTTGCATACCATAGTTCTGAGTAGTAATCCAAATGTTAGATTGTCGCTAAAAAGAATTAAACTTACACAAGGTTCTTTTGTAACAATATAATTTTTCGTACGAGACTAGGAAAACAGAATTCTAAAGTTGACATCACAATGATACTTATACTATCAGCGCCCTCTTTAACTTTAGGATATTCTTGTTATTTAGAATGCAGTAGCATAAAATCGACGAAAAATCAGAGCAGCTGAATAAGATATAACTTTTCAAAATTGAAATGTAGACAAAACGTTAAATCATAAAATAAAATAAATAAAACATTTATAGAGTTAAAACAAACAAACAAAAAATATTTAAAATACCTGAATCTAAGTTTCAGAGAATCCCGATAATAAAATATTATCAAATACAGTGCAGAAAATATTGCAAATAGATGTCTCCTTTGAACAGTTATCGCTTAGCTACAACAAATTCTTGAACTGTCGTTAGTCGAACCAAGGTTATAAGTGGTCAGACCATCCTTAGTCAAATTACGGTTTCGTCAATTTTGGATGCTATATAGTTTTGAATTTTATGTTAAATTGAAAGCCGTGAAGAGTAACTTAAACTTTTTTCACCATCTATTTATGTTAGTTGTCACTTGGTTTGGTGTGTTTCGAACATTCGCGTAAAGCTGAATAACATAAGGCCTATGTACGCTAGCTGTCCTAAATTTTGAACTGATAAGGCCACTGTCAATCCTTGGGCTACTCTAATCAGATAGTGATATTTCACCCGTATTTTCATGAAACACCCACGGCCCCAAAGTTCGAAACACGATATTTTTGTGACATTGGAAAGTGAACCATGGATTCTCTGATCCACAGTCCAGTATGCTACTCATTTGGCCACGTCCAGCCCATCTTTGTATAGCCAGTTAATGATGCAACACCGCCGTGAAAATCAACAACGTCATTGTCATTATTATTCTGGACTATTTATAATATAATATCTGTTTAAGTAAATATGTAACAGGTCACATTTCACCAAAGTGAAATCTACACAGTTCTAGAGAAGTGGTGAAACGGTACTCAAACAAATCGTGAGAAAATTGCATTTTAGTATGG